GCTTTTTCGATTTCCAACAAATAGCACCACTTCCCAAAGTAAAAATATAACATGTAGTAGAACAGGAATCACCAGATAAAGTGTTCCAATCTGCATCAGAAAAGCCTTCGAGTACAGCAGGATATTTTTTATAAAATAAGCCATAGGTTTTTGTACCAAGTAAATACCTCATAACTCTTGTTATGGCATGCCAATGTTCATTACCTAGCTTGCTTGTAAACCTGCTAAGTACTCCTACTGCGTATGCAATATCAGACCGAGTACAATCAGTCACATATCTCAAGCTTCCAATTAAGCTAGCATATTCCTTTTGATTTATCACATCATTATCACTTTGTACATGAAATAAGTGAATACTTGACTCAAAAGGGGTTACAACATGCTTGCAATCAATAAAATTATATTTTTTCAAAATTTTCTCAACATAATGTGACCGATCAAGGAAAATTTCATCACATATTCTAGTAATCTTCATTCCAAGAATGAAATTTGCCTCACCCAAATCTTTCAGGTCAAAATGGCTACTAAGCATGCTTTTAGTCTCCAATAATATTCACGTTAGAGCCAAATATTAACAAATCATCAACATAGAGGCAAATAATTACATGTGAATTATTCGAAGACTTATGATATATGCACTTATCACACTCATTTTATTTAAATTTATTTTCAATCATGTAGGAATCAAACTTTTTATGTTATTGCTTAGGTGCATGTTTCAAGCCATTTGATAAATATGCAAATCAAAAATTGCAGCAATAGCAATTAAAAGTCTAATGGATGTAATTCTAGTTACCAGAGAAAAAGTATCAAAAAACATTCTAGGCATTCTAGTTGCTTAAAACCTTTAGTAACTAACCTAGTCTTATACTTATCAACGGATCCATCCGATTTTAACTTTTTTCTTAGGACTCATTTGCACCCAATTATTTTATAACCTGGTGGTAAATCAACCAACTTCCAAATTTTATTAGAAATTAGTGACTCAATTTCATCATTTACAGCCTTTTTCCAAAAAATAGCATCAGGTGATAATAAAGCTTCTTGTAAAGTAAGAGGGTCATTTTCATTATTAAAAACATAAAAATCAGGACCAAAATCTTTTTCTATTCTAGCTCTTTTACTTCTTCTTAACTCAAAAGCATCATTTTCTTCATTGCAAAATAGAAGTAGAAGAACTAGGCATAGACAAAAAATTATCTTTTATCTCTTTGACCCCCACTATTTTTAGACTCGAATGAAAATTTATTTTCATGAAAAATAGCATCACCTAATTCTATAATTATATTCTCTTCAAGATTTAAAAATCTATAGGTTGTACTATTAGAAGCACAACCAAGAAAAGCACAAGTGGTAACGTTTTCACCCAATTTTGTAATTTTAGGATTTGTTAGCCTAACATAGGCTAAATAACCCCGAACTCTCAGTTAACCCAAATTTGGCTTGTGATTTTTTCACAACTCAAATTGTGTCAATTTTATTTTCTTATGAGGTACCCTATTCAACACATAACATGCAGTCAAAGTAGCTTCACCCCACAAATTTAAAGGTGCATTTGACTCAATAAGCATGACATTAGTTAACTCTACCAAAGTTCTATTTTTTCCTTTCAGCCACACCATCATCATTTGATGCAGAAGAATAAGGTGGAGTAGTTTCATGAATTATTCTCAATGATCTAACAAAAGAATTAAATTCATTAGACTCATATTCACGGCTTCTATCACTTCTAATTCTTTTTATTTTTCTACCGAATTGATTTTAAACCTCATGGAGATAATTTTTAAAAATTTCAAACGCATCACTTTTATTTTTCCTCAAGTAAACATATGTATACTTAGATAAATCATCAATAAAAGTGATAAAATATCTATTTCCTCCACGAGTTAAAATTTCTCAAAGTTCATAAATATCAGTGTGAACTAATTCTAACAATTTAGTTTTTCTTTCAACTTAGAAATGAGGCCTTTTAGTTAATTTAGCTTTACTACAAGCCTCACATTTTTTAAAATTCTTTTTAATCATTGGGATTAATCCTAAACTACTCATGATTCCCACATAACGATTATTAATATGACACAAATGAGCATGCCAAAAAATAGTAGAAGAAAGCATATAAACAGAACTAGAAGAAGTTTTATTCATCTCAACATTCAACTTGAACATCACATCACATCACATGCATACCCCTTACCCACAAAAATACCCTTTTTCACTATTACATATTGATCACTCTTAATAATTTATTTGAAGCCTGCCTTGTTAAGAAGAAAACTAGACATCAAATTTTTTCTCATTGAAGGAGTATAAAGTACGTCTTTCAACGTTAATACTCTTCCTGAAGTAAACTTCAACTCGACTTCTCTCTTTCCAAGCACCTGGGTTGTGTGAGAATCACCAAGCATGATGGTTTTGGGCTACTCAAATGGAGAATATACTTTAAACCAATCTCTATCATATCAAATATGACGGTTTGCTCCAAAATCAGCCCACCATCCATCAACATTTTCTACCATGTTAATGTTTGTTATCACCGCCACAAGTGGCTCTTCGATAACGTTTTCCTGTGGTGTAGGATCACGTTTTCGAAATTTACAAAATCGAACAATATGCCCACTCTTGCCACAGACAAAGCATGATTTCACAATTTGAACTTGTTGATTCCGTGCTTGGTTGTTTGCACCATTATTCTTCTTGGGAGGTCGACCATAATTTTTCTTAAAAGTCTTCTCCTTCGGCTTCAAAGAAGTATTTTCGTGAGTTTCAGAAATATTATTATTTGAAGTAATTAAATTTACCTTTGTAGTGATGGTTGTAGAGTGCTCTCTTTCGATTGCATAAGTGCATCTTGGCCTCATGCCTCTTCTTCCATGTGAATCTGCATTACCAACGTCTCAAGTGAAGTTTCCTTTTGTTTGTGGCGCATAGTTTTTTTGAAATTCCTTCCATGAAGGTGGAAGTTTATCTATTATGCCACAAACAATAAGGTTGTCTCCAATTTTAATATCCTCATACCTGAGCTCTTCAACGATCATTATGAAGTCTTGAGCTTGGTCTACTACAGATTTATTGTCCAAAAATCTGCTAGCAACATACTTTTTCGCACCTGCCTCCTCGGTATCATACTTCTCTGCAATGCTTTCCAAATTTTCTTTGCAGTAGAGTAAGTTCTATCATAATAATCATAAAAATTATCAGATAGACAATTAAGAAAATAATACCGACACTTGTATGAATCATCGTTGTATTTTTTAATTTTTTCTTGAAGGGCAATTAGCTCATCATCATTCATGGAGGAGTTGTCTACTTTGCTTGGATTTTTCTCAGTTAAAACGTAAGAAACATTGAGAAGACTCAAATAAAAAAGTACTTTACCCTTCCATCTCTTGAAATTAGTACTGTTAAAATGGAATGGCTTGTTGAGATCTCCTACCTTGATATCCGCGAATTTTTTAACTGTAGCCATAATGAATCTCCTTAAAATTGTTGGTGAAAATATAATTACATTTGAAAAATAAAATGAAGAAAATAAAATATCTTCAGGCTGAGGCACGAATATCTCGCTCTCTTTAAGGAGATGCAAGCCCACTACAAGAACTTCACGGACATTCTTCAGATGCAAGCCCACTGGAGTTCGAATTTTTTACATATGAGCTTCCAAGTTCCAGCATATTATGCTGGAATTTTATTATGTGTTGGAGTTCCATCATAATATGCTGGACGTTTATATGCAGGAGCTCCATAATCCCCCATATTATGCTGGAACTTTCCGTGTCATGGAATTCCAACATAATATGCTAGAAATTTATACGCATGAGCTTCATAATCCCGCATATTATGCTGAAACTTTTTGTGTTTCAATAAAATAGTGGCTATTTTTCTATGACTTCTCAAACGCTGGCTATTTTTCGATTACCAGTCCGAAAAATAGCTAGCTCGTGCTATTTTGACACCACTGTTAGATATGAGACTAGGCCAAAGGACCTAGGTGCATTGGACCATAAGAAGAAGATATTTTGGAGCAGAAAATTACCCCCAATGACCTAGAAAATGGTTGTTCTTAATTTTTTAAACCCCCGCTTACCCCATGAGCAAAATCCTCAAGGTCAAAAGTCAAAAGTGTTACCCATGGAACAAGCGAAAAATAACACTTGTTAACTTGAAGTTCTACCCGTGAGACAACCGATGTCAAAAAAATCAAAAAGTGCAAATCACCCTTTTGGGAGACCGTGACCCGTTAAGATAAGTTTTGCACGCAGATTTCGGCCGGCATTAAGTAAGGATTTCAAATTGATGAGCAAAACTTCCCTTGTCACAAAAATCGTCAGAATTCCTAGCCAAATCTTAACAATGCAATTTTGCCACGGATACAAATTGATTGGCAAAACTTTCCTTGTCACAAGTCATCATAAAGTTTCTTTTTTTTCCTCCTAAAGATATATCTTTCCAAATTGTTAATAGAGAATGGGACAGCTCTATGCAAAAAGGGATCCAACTGCATATTCGATTGTGCAATTCTGCATTTGAATTTTATATATTCAAAATTTACAGGTACTGTCACTAATGAACTGGTTGAATGAGCATTTTTTCTTACGCATGATCTTCAGGAAGCACAAGTTATGTTTTCAAATTGTAAAGTCCGGGTTTTCTCGTTATTCATTTCTTGTAATTTCCAAATATACCTTTATTGTTCTAACTAGTGGAGTGTTACTTAAATGAGACATTTAAAGAGAGATAAATGATAGTTTAAAGTTACGAATACGTTTATGATTAAAACTATTAACAGCGTGTTTGGATAGTTGTTACATATTGTTTCTTAATGTATCATATTGTATTGTATTATATTATACTGTATCATTTGTTGAATACAATGTTTGGATAAATTGTATCATTTACCGTTGTTTTATGATGTCACGTACCAGCAATATGAAGAATAAACTTGCAGTATTACAAATATATATATATATATATATATNAAAGGGCAAGATGACAAAAAAAGATAAGGTAACGACGCGACCACACCAAATTAGTCGTTACATAAAGTGACACTTGTCGTTACCTAACGACGGATTTAACAATACGATACAATAAAATTTAAGTAACAATTAAAACAAACATTGTATTTAAAGTAATAATATGATACAATATTATATGTAACAACCATCCAAACAAATGTCCTTGCATTGGAGCTCATAAAGCTCCATATATGTGTGAATATAAAGCCTAGATCTTTCTTCCTCACCACTTTCCCGACACTTGATGTATATTGAATAAACTTACATGACTTATGCAAAGAAAACAAACTAGTACAACTTTGTGATAACAGTGAAGAAATTTAAACAGCAGCCAGCATGATGCATTTTATAGAGCTAGAAATTAGCAATGTTTAAGAAGAAATTCCCACTCACCTTGGGCCGGATGGGATTGAGGGAAATAATGGAGCAGAATCTACTATATTGATATCTGATACGTTTTGTGTAATAAGAAAGTTATAGTCCAGACTCTTTTCAACATCCACCGCGCCCTCGATGACCATGACAACTATTGACATTGATGGTCTCTTGGCATAATCGCGTTGTAGACACCACGCAGCAACTTGCATTATATCTACTACTTCTTCCTTATAAAGCTGCATATCTTCACTGCGCTTATCAATCAGATCCATTAGTCGCCTTTCCTCTGCCTTTCTCTTGAAAAGACTAAACAATAGCCTTTGCTCCTCGGGCTCAGATGGCTCGAAATTTTTCCTTCCACACAAGATCTCCAAGACTACAACGCCATAGCTATAGACATCTACCTTTTCTGTTATAACTGCACTAAGCCATTCAGGAGCTAGATAGCCAGGAGTACCTCTCATGGTAGTCACAACTTTGCTCTGAGTCCGATCTATTAGCTTGGAAAGTCCGAAGTCAGAGAGCTTAGCATTATACTTCTCATCTAGGAGAATGTTTTGAGGCTTAATATCCAAATGTAGAATTTTTTGCCTGCATTCTTCGTGGAGGTAGGCTAGTCCTTTGGCTACGTCATGAATAATCTTCTTCCTGCATTTCCAATCTAGAACGATTTCTTGATTGCCAGAGTAGATCCATTTGTCTAGTGATCCATTGCTCATAAACTCATATACTAGAAGTCTGTGAGATTTCTCAGCACAGAAGCCAATTAATTGGACCAAGCTGAGATGATGTATGCTGCCAATGGTTTCAACCTCAGCTAGGAATGATTTCTTGGCTTTGCCTATTCCGTCAAGGCATTTCACTGCAATCTTTCTGCCGTCTTTTAAGGTCCCTCCGAACACTGATCCGAATCCTCCTTCACCAAGTTTTTTGCTAAAGTTCTCAGTTGCAGACTTTAGATTGTCGTAAGAAAATCTAACAGGCATTCCTGGCATGTTATCTAGATAATGCTCTTCCACTTCATCTTCCTTTCTCTTCTTCCAGAGTATGAAAATTATGCATCCGATTATAATGCCAAGAATGGAAATTCCTGTAACAGATCCCACTATAGCACCATTCAAGTGCCTTTTCCTTCTTGCAACAGCTGGTTGAGTTTCATTCTGTAATTTCACATTCTGTACTTTCACAAATGCAGAGGAATTATACCTTGTCTTGTCCTTCTCATTATTCATCAATGAAAATATCTCGGATGGAAGGTAGCACTCCCCAGTAGAAGAATTTGAACCAAAAATAGCAGCTTTACAAGAACAATTCCTCAAACATGCATTTTTACAGGTAGTCATGTCTGTATCAATAATATCTGCACTAAACGCGAAATAATTCACATCATTGAGCTCCAAATATCTGTGGTTTTTTGAGTCATTACAAGTCATTTTTGTGATCTCAGAACAACCAAGATTAGGCTGCCTATCATTTATCTGTCTAAAATAGTTTGTTGAATCAGAACTTGATTTGGGACAACTACACTGCCCTTTTGAGCAAATGCCGTATCTTCCACATGCCATTGGGTAAGCACACTCACCATAAAAGCCTGTAAAAAGGTCATTGACCTCTTTCCACTGGTCTTGCCACTCATACACTTTCAAGTGCCCATCAAATTCCAGTTTCAAAAATTGAGCTGAAGATACAGGAGCAACGGAAACCAGTATCCGCGGATTCTTGGAGTCACTGGAATTGGTGAATAAAGCTAAGCTTCCATTCAAATACATGACATAGTTGGATGCTTTACTAGCAGTTAGTCCATCTATGGAACTCTCAAAATATGTTTGTGGTGGACTCGACTCAACGAAAGCAATCAAACCATTATTTGTGGCAGAGAAAGAAAACAAACCTCCCTCAGTCCAGTTTGTTGCTGAGACACTTGCTGTTAGCTTCTTTCCTGATACTAACTTCTGTCCAGGTACCAAAGAATCAGTTGGATGATCAAAAGATTGCCAAACAGTAACATTGTTGACATCAAAGAGAACAAGATTTCCCAAATGAGTCAACTTTAAGCCAGCAACAGATTTCTCAGTAGTATTTGTTGACCAAACCAAAGTACCATCAGCATCTCTAAGTACCAAGTTTCCTCCTAATGTGAGCTGCAAAGTTGCATTGATCCTAACTGGATTATTCCTATTAGCAGACCAAACAACTTGTGGGAATCCTACATTAACAGCTGTAATAGAGGAAATACTATTTGTGTACACAATGAAAATGGCAAAGATGTAAGTTTCACAATTGCCATTACAGTAGAATCCACAAGCATATCTTGGACCAAAGCTTCCTTTAATAAGTATAGCCCTTACTATAGAGCCATCAGTGAAGTTCACTGAATGTGGTGCTGAATAACTGTTGATCCAAGTAGTTGAAAGATTTGCAGTTGGATAATCAAAAGGTTGGCTGGTTAATGAATGAAAATAACAAAAATAGTGAACAAGAAAGGGAAAATCCAGCTTACAGCCATAAAGAAGAAATTTGTATGATATCTGTAAGATGGTGAAGTGGCCTAAGTAAACCTCATTTTAATTTAAAATAGATGCATGGACTTGGACACTTAGAAAGAATCAACCCCAGAACATTGACCTATCATTTACTTCTTGACTTACTTTGTTGGTCAACCACTATTTTATTTTCAACTTACATTATGGTTTGGAAGGAAAAAAGGGACCTGCTTAAATTAGTGGAAACTTGGAAAGACTAATTAAGTGGACTGCCAAAGGAGTCAAATAGAAAACATTGACCTTCCCATTTCATCCAACTTCCCTGCTTTTTCCTAGAAGGGCAGCCCAGGGCAGTCCAGCGCGGGATGCGGAGAAGGGTTGGATCACACTAGTTTTATGTATGCAGCCTTACTTTGCATTTTTGCAAGAGGTTATTTCTGCAAGTTGAACCTGTAACCTCTTGATTACAGGATGGTAACTTTTACCTTTGTGCCAAGACTTTCCTTCAGCTTCTTCCTCAAATTCTTTTTTATTTATTTTTTGTTTGGATGTACTGAAATTGAATGACTACTTCTAAAAGTTTAAACTTTTAGAGAGATGCAACTTTTTATTTTTTTTTTATTTATCTTGCGTTTTCACACATNATTTTTTTTATCTTGCGTTTTCACACATCTTCATAGAGAGAGTTGATTCTTTCTCTTGGATCATACGCATAAAGATATGCATAAATATTTACTTACTTTTCCTTTAATTTGCAGATTTCTTCCCAGTAAAATGAACAATAGAATGAAAGAATGTGAAAAGGAAGTACGAGAAAAAATTTCATGTCTAATTGACAACAGATTAAAGGCAAAAGAAGAAGGCAATGGCAAGGCCCTCAATAATGACCTATTGGGTATATTATTAGAGTCAAATTCTAGAGAAGTTGAAGAGGAGGTGGTGGCAGTGGAGTTGGGGGAAATTTGGGAAGGGGTAAATCTTTAATCTTTTTTCAAAATAAAAAATACCAATCCACTCCCTTCATACGTGTGTATACCACGCACTTTGTCCATCTCAATCATGTCAATGCCACATAAGCTCGGTCAATGGCCAGAGGCATTTAAAACACTTGTATTAATCGAGTTGAGGTATATGTATGACCGTGAAGTTAGGGGGTCGGGAACACAATCCCGGTGTGCATTTGGCTATTCGGCCTAGAAAATATAGGTAACTACTAACTTCTAGCACTTTTTATTTTATTTAGTATAATGTTGGCCTGAGACAAAGTTAAATGGAGAAATATGGTCAGTGAGGGTCAATGGGGATTCATATAGCCGTTGTTTGAGATTGAGGGTATTTGTTGTAAGTATATAATTTTATCATTCACTTGAGCAAGGTCCAAACACAGTTTACTGACAGAAGAAACATCTCTTTGGTTTTAACTTTTCTTTTTTTCTTTTTTCTTTTTTTTTTGGGTTNCCCAAATTAAAAATGAAAACAGTTCAAATTCACTTACCTTATATTTTGTGAAATCACATGATCCTACTATAAGGGCAGCCCGGTGCACTAAGCTCCCGCTATGCGCGGGGTCCGGGGAAGGGCCGGACCACAAGGGTCTATCCTATCCTACTATCAAGAGCTAAATAAAATTATTTGTATTTCATCCCTAAAGGTCCAAATTTGCTATGTAATATCTTATTGACGCAAGCACGCATCACTTTATCAGCCTACTTACCAACTTATAACAAACCTACTTACCATAAGTGAGTCAAGTAACAGAAAAATGATAATCGGCAGGTAATTAATTGGATTCTTTCTTTTTTCTTTTAAGAAACTCAATAAAAGTGTGAAACATCAATTATTACCCTACTTCAATTCACAAAAACCAAGCTCAAACTAATGATCCCCTTTCTTAGTTTCCTACCTTCCAAATGTGAGAGGAGATCTTAAGCAAGCAATTAAACAATCTATCTTTCTGGATTAGCATGCATTAATTGTTTGTGGTACAAACTCTTGTCTTTGCTTTATTTACCCTGTATAAAATAGTGCTTTCTCTTGCCATCTTGCCATCAACTTGCTTTTGGAGCTCTCTTCGCTATCAAACAACTTCAGAAAGCGAGCAGTCTCCCTTTCAAGAACTCCCCCTCCCCCACCCAACATTTCTTCTTAAACAATAGAAAAGAGTAAGAAAGCAAAATCTTCAATTTCATATCCCAAGAAAAATGTCAGACTATTACCCTGAAGAACTGATGGTTCAAATCTTCTCAAGGCTTCCTCCCAAATCTCTCCTCCGATTTAGGTGCATATCAAAATCATGGAACTCACAAATTTCAAGCCCTGAATTCATATGGCTGCACACCCTGCAAATTCTACTAAAACCCTCTACAGGTACAATCATGAGGTACTTCTCAACAATTGAAAGGAAGGAAAAATATTTAATTGTGCGTAGGGATGCATCAGCAGATGTTGACCCTGTAATAACATTAGGATCCCCTTTTAGTGGCAGAGTACGATATTACTGTAGGATCGTAGGTGTATGCAATGGTGTGGTCTGTTTGTCAAATGATTTATTTGGATATGATAATCTTTTGGTACTTTGGAACCCTAGAATAAGCAGATGCCTCACCCTCTCTACGCCTGCTCGTTGTTGTGACAATGTGTGGACTTATAAGTTTGTCTTTGGGTTTGGCTTTGCAATTAAAACGAGAGATTACAAGGTTGTGAAGATGGCCTATACTCATGGGGATTATCAGGATTTGGCGCCACCTAAGGTTGAGGTATATGCACTTAGTTCGGGAATTTGGAATGAATTTGATGGTTTTATTCCAGACACTGGTGTTATAGAGTACTTTTGGACACAAGCTGTTGTTTGTGGGAAGGTCCACTGGACTGCATACAAGAGAACTGGGGAGGGAAGAAGGGTGGAGAACTTGATAATGGTGTTTGATCTGAATGATGAGATTTTTCAGGAATTATCATTACCAGAAGTTTTGGCTAACGAAATACCAATGAATCTGAATGCTGCAGAGTGTAGGGAATCACTTGCTGTGTATCAGTATGATACACGTATTTGGAGCAGCAGTTGTTCCATTTGGGTAATGAAACAATATGGAGACACTGAGTCATGGAGCAAGGAGTATAATGTTGCACTTGGCAACGAGCATTTAATGGTACTCGGCATTAGTGATAATAGTGAAATATTGTTGACTGAATCAATAGGGATGCTAGCTTTATATAATCCTGAGACGCAAAAAAAGGAGCGCCTTGGTATTCCTGGCACTGAGTACTCTTTTTATTTTGATACTTACGAGGAAAGCCTTGTTTTGCTAGATAAAGGGGTTGTACTGCCTCCACTTGATTTATCATCGGAGGAGACAACGGATGATGATGAAGATGAAGAAAATGATGTTGAGAATGCTCCTCAAAGCTGGATGCATTATATTATGCATCAGTATCTCACAGCTTTTCTTGGAGCCGGAAATATCTAAGAGCTTGCCTGCATCTAAAATAATGAACAAATGTTATAAAGTTCAGGCCGACCTTCTGCGGAAGATTATATATCTGCTTTCTGTCAGGCCATCCCAATTTCATTTATCACAGCTATGTATCATGTGCTCGGTGTTATGCTTGTTATTACAACTTTAATCAATTTTGACTGCTACACCATTTGTGGTTTTATGTTTGGCTACATTGACCAAATCAAGATGAATATTCGAATCAAATGTGTCAGTCAATGCAATTTACTTTTAGGTGGGGAAAGCCGTAAACCCTTGAACCTTTTAGCTTTGAGATATTTCGGTAACACATAACTATTTTGAAATTGTAACAGTTGACAAATGAATAAGAATACATAAATCACACCACTAACAAATGGCACAGTTCAAGTAATCAAAATTTTATGGTAAACATTACTGGGAAATCTAGTTGTTGATTGGTGATAAACTTCCCAATCAAAGATGAGATACCCACTACCAAATTAATGTGCTTTCAACTTTAATCTTCTTAAGCTTCATTTTAGTTACAAATATCTGCAGCAACAGAACAAGGCAGCAGATTATTAGCTTCATTCGTGTATCGCTTTGATACTGAAGTACACTAAGTGTTATAGGCGTCACCGTAAACCAACACAAAAAAATAAAGCAGTTTCCATAAACCAAAAATATCAATTTTCTGCTATGACCAAATGATTAAATGAACAACAGAAATATTCACGCAAGTCCGTCAGCGGTCAGCTTGTTTAGCTATGGGCATATAGATAATCAAAGTGATTCAAGATCTCAGTAGCTCAGATAGGCAGACCCAAGACTTACCTATAGATGTTCGCGGACAGTTTTCTCCGGCCAATCATCTGGTTCTTCTGTGACATGCAAAAGAAACATGTGCCCTTATGAAATGTGCCTTGGCTTTTGCTCTTGAAACTCCAAGTACCCAAGAATTCCTGAACCTCAAAGGCACACATAACCCCAGAGTCTTAAAAGATCTCAGTTAAAGCTGCATCTTCTAATGCCTCATCAGTTTCCCAACCATCCTGTAATTACGTTACGAAACAAAAAGAATGTCAATCCAAGGATTATTAACAATATTATTGTTGATTGGCTTAATTAATAGGAAAGATTTGATTCATTTTACTCTTATTGATTGTAACTGATTGTAATTTATTTCCTTCCCTAAAATAGTCATAGGACCTAGTGTTTAAATACCTTTACTTAGGGAGGTAAGAAATACACAGAAATACTAGTCTTTTCTTCTTCTTCAAAAGGTTCCTTAATCTCGAAAAGAGGTCGAGTTTTTCTCTCTCCGTTGAAGCTATCCGAAACTAAACACCTTTCTGTTAGTGTTGTCAAGAAGGTAAACCACTATCGGCGAGGCAGATTATTTTTCAGCAATTTTCTTCAGATTTCCTTCTGATTGAGCAGAAAATATGGAGACATTCAAGGAGACGGTTTCTAGAGAAATCTTGTCTTCAGATGAAATTCAGCTCTCCATCGCTTCCTAGCCAAACTTGACTCTGCTAATGTTGTCACATCCAATTATGTGCAATCAGGTAATGCCTTTGCTGCTCACCTTAATTCTTAAGTTGTTTATTCTGGTACAAATAGACACATAACAGGCTCTAAGGCATTCAAAACTATTCTCTGTGTCTCAAAAGAGGTAACGTCAAAATAGCCAATGGTTTTTAACACATATCTCTGGAAGAAAATCTATCGTTTGTACTCCTAATATTAAACTGTCATACTGTGCTCCATGTCCCTGCATTCCTTCTCTATTAGTGCCATCACCAAAACTCTAAACTGTAAAATCGAGTTCTTTCTCGATCGTTGTATTTTTCAGGATCTTCAAATAGGAAAAAGGATTGCAGTGGCTGATTGCGTGATGACTTGTATATATTAGATAGAATTCAAACTCTGGTCAAGCCTTTTTTGAGGAAAGTAAGGATATCAACCAAGAAATAGTACAACGACATAGACGGTTTAGACACACATCATTTTTGTCTTGAAGAAGTTATATCCCGATTTGTTCTCAATGACTCAATTTGAATCTTTGTTCTGTGATGCGTGTGAATATTCCAAGCATACTAGAAACTCTTATCATGTGAGTGATAATTGAAGCACAACTCTGTTTATGACTATTCATTCTGATGTATGCGGTCCTACCCAAACTGTTTCTTTATCTGGTACTCGATGGTTTGTTACTTTCATTGATTGTTGTACTAGGATGACTTGGTATATTTGTTAAAAGCTAAAAGTGAAATTTTCTCTTGTTTTCGGTCCTTTCATAAGATGATTTGAACTCAATTGATGACAAAATAAAAATCTTGAGAACTAACAATGGCAACGAATACATGGATAAAAGATTTAGTGCTTATTTGGAGTCCAATGGATAGTCCATCGGACTAGTGTCCTTACACTAGTGCACAAAATGGGGCCGCTGAAAGAAAAAATAGGCATTTGTTAGAAGTAGCGAGATCTCTTATATTCACCATACATCTACCAAAACCTTATTGGGGATGTTATTCCAGTAGTTACCTCTCTTATTAACAGAATGCCACTTAAAACACTCAATTTTCACAAGGGAAAGTGAAATTGGAGAAAGAATTCAGGAGGAGACTATTGGGCGTTTAGATGGGCCTGATTTGGAAACATACTCAAGGAGAAATAGAGCAGAAGAAGTTGTCATGTAATCTATCGAAGCTAAACCTTCTTATACTTGTAAGTTATTTACATTTCCTAATGAGTTAGATTTGCATGTTGATCACAGAAAATAAGTCAGATCTTGCACCACCGAACACCATTTATTTAATTTTGTCTCATATAATTCTATGTCTCAAACAGCCTCTCTGCCCTTCCAGGGTAGGGGTAAGGTTGAGTACACTCCCAAGACCCCACTTGTAAGAAATCACTGGATTTGTTGTGGTTGCTGTATAATTCTATGCCTCCCTCTTATAGAGCATTTGTCTTGTCGATTTCTTCTGTGTCAATTCCCCAGAATAGGAGGAAAGCTTTTGCAAATCCTAAATGTAAGCAATCTATGATTAAAGAAATGAAGGCCTTGTCAAAAAATGAAATTTGGGAACTTGTCACTTCACCACCAAGCAAGAAGTTGGTTGGTTGCAAATGGGTCTTCACTATGAAGCAGAAAGTTGATGGCTCGATTGGAAGATTCAAAGCAAGATAGGCGGCTAAGGAATTCACTCAGACTTATGGAGTGGATTATCAAGAGACATTTGCCCATGTTGCAAAAATGAACACTATCGGGATTCTTTTGTCTTGTGCAACTATTCTTGATTGGGACTTACAACAGTTTGGTGTGAAGAATGCATTTCTTCGGAGAGACTTAGAAGAAGAGGTATATATGGAGATTCCTCCTGGATTTGATAATGCACAAAGTCATGGAAAGGTATGCAGATTGAAGAAAGCCCTGTACGGACTGAAGCAATCCCCCAGAGCTTGGTTTGACAGATTCTGCAAAGCAATGATCTCCTTCAGTTATCAACAAAGCAATGTTGATCACACCCTATTCAGAAGACATCAAACGGGTAAACTCACTCCTCATAGTTTATGTTGATAACATAGTAATGACAGGAGATGACAAAGAAGAGATGGCTCGATTGAAGAAGTTGTTGGCACGGGAATTTGAGATCAAGGATCTATGAAAATTGCAGTACTTCTTGGGAATTGAGGTTGCTAGATCAAAAAGAAGAATTTTTATTTCTCAAAGGAAGTATATTCTGGATCTCTTGAAAGAATCTAGTATGACAGGTTGCAGATAGCAGAATCACCTATTGAAAGCAATCACAAGTTACAAAGCAAAGTTGGAGAGTCAGTTGATAAGGAGAGATATCAGAAGTTGGTTGGAAGACTCATTTATCTCTCACACTAGACCAAATATAGCCTATTCAGTCAGACAGGTGAGTCGGTTCATGCATGATCCTCATATACAAGTCGTCTTTCACACTTTATAGTATCTAAAGTTTGCTCCAGGGAAAGGTCTGTTTTAGGTAGAAGCCTATACATATGCAGATTGGGCTGGATCTTTAGATGATAAAAGATCTACATCCGGTTATTGTACACACGTGGGAGGGAACGTGGTCACTTGGAGATCAAGAAGCAAAGTGTAGTTGCTAGACCAAGTGCGAAAGCAGAATATAGAGTTATGGCCCACGGTGTCTATGAAATTCTTTGGTTACTAAAGTTGCTAGAGGAACTAAGACTGTCAAAAAGGAAAAACTCTTCTTATACTGTGACCTATATTGCGCTGACTCTCCAAAATGATGTCGCACCCGTGTCGGATCCTCATTTTCGGAGAGGATCCGACACGCAACCAGCAACATTTTCGGAGAGTCCGAACAACATAGACTGTGACAACAAGGGTGCCATCGGCATAGCACATAATCCAGTCCAGCATGACCGAACAAAAGATGTCGAAATTGATCGACACTTCATCAAAGAAAAAGTTATGAGTGGTGTCTTGAGCTTGTTTCATGTGTTATCAGAAAAGCAGCTAGCTAATGTGTTTACCAAAGGTCTCAACAAACGGACTTTTCATACAATGGTTTGCAAGTTCGGCATGTGCGACATCTTTGCACCAACTTGAGGGGGTGTTGATTAGCTTGATTGTTATGGAAGATTTAATTTTATTCTGATTGATTGTAATTGATTGTACATTGATTATAATTTATTTTCCTTCCTAAAATAGTCATAGGACCTCGTGTATAAAATACCTTTGCTTAGGGGTGTGAGAAACATACTAATATATGAAAGAAACATTTTCTTCTTGTCAAATCTACAGTTTCTCTTTGTACTGAAGTACACAAGTGGTACATGTGTCACCATAAACCAAAACAAAAATATCAACTTCTTTTTGATAAGTAAAATATCAACTTTATAATATGACCAAATGATAAAACCAATATAATTCATGGAAGTCCATCAGCAGCCAGCTTGTTTTAGCTTTGGGCATATAGATAATATGAGGTCAAAATTGACTTGCATTAGCAAAATTCACAAAGTTAATGCCAATAAGGACACTATTTCTCTAAATTTAATAAATACAATGATTCATAATTTAATTGAGGATTACAGACTAATATATCTATATCAGCCACAACAACCGAAATAGCGAACAACAGAAATTTGCAATGATTACTTACAGTCTACATACTCAGTAAATAACTGCAGCAGCATAAGGGATTATTACCTGGTACATGTTGCTGGTGGGAGGTGGCAGGTATCCCGTGGAATTAGTCGAGGTGCGCGCAAGTTGGCCCGGACACCACGGTTATCAAAAAAAAATATTATTTGGGAAAGAAAATCTAGACCATGGGCACTTACTGCAAGATAAGACATTCTTAAAATCAATTATAGTCATTGGGAAATGGGTATATCAGTTACGCACTATAAGAAAATTGAAGTTCAATTTGCCTTCTTAGTGAATTTGAGTTATCGAACTTTCAGAAAAGGAAATAGTTTTTCTTTGTTGCACAAAAAGTTCTCAAGCACGCCCTTTCTAATTAAATGAGCTCTACTACTATTGTTTCCAAGTAGACAAGTCTTCCTTTAGTATGGGTATGACACTATGACTATCGCTAAAATGTCATCATAAATTAGATTCAGTTCAAGATTTGGCATTCCACTAGGCTCTTTAATGCAAGAAGGCAAGTCAAGAAAGAAAACATAGCATTAAATTGTCTCAAAACTGATCAGTAGATAGTGAGGTTGATTGTTTAGAATAAGGATTGTTGAGTCCCGCGTCGGTGAGATTTGGATTTCTTGGTCTGCTTATATGGTCTGAAGCAATCCTCACCTCATGAGCTAGCTTTTGGGATTGAGCTAAGTCTATGGTCCATTTATCATGGTATCAGAGCCAGGCCCATCCCAATTTATTGTTACCATGTTGGGCCCCCATTTATGTTGTCCACGCTCTAGTTTGTAGGTCTGGGTATGAGAGTGGGTGTTGAGTCTCACATCCGTGGGATTTGGGTTTCTTCTCCTTATATGATCTTGGGTAATCCTCTCCTCATAAGCTTTGCGATCTACTAAAGATCTATTTTCAGGAAGGAATCAAATGATTTACTTTCCTTTTATAATAACATCTTAATCTACAATCTACGAATAAGAAATAGGAACAAACTTGAATTACTTAAGTGAAGACTTCTTTAATGAGGTAAATTGCAATTTTAGTCCTTAAAATATAACCTCGTTGCGACTTTGAATCTCCATGTTATTATGATCAACACATAACCTTTAATATTTTGAGACATGGGCCAATTTTGTATTTACTAATGTAGTTAACAACATTAAACAAAATTAATGCCTCTAGTGGCTTCCACCACCTTCTGCCTCTTCTTCTGCTAAATCAGCATCAATCCCCCATTCGACTACTACTACTACGGATCCCAGGTATCCATAAGAGCAGGGAAGGAAATACAAGACTGATCAACTCACCTAAACGTAGTAGCGGAAGAGTAGTTTTAGTCCGTGAAATATAACCTTGTTACGACTTTGAATCTACATGCTATTATGATATCCATGCAACCTTTACGATTTTGACATTCAGTAATGCAATTAACAAAATTGACAAAAATTAATGGCATTAGGCTTCCACAACCTTCTGCCTCCTCTTCTGCTAAACCAGCATCAATCCCCCATACTGCTACCACTGCTCTTGCTGCTACTTACCCCCAAAAAAAAAGAGAATCAACTTCTAGTAAAATGTACAGATAGATGTTTACTGGTGAAGTACAATTTATGCTCATATAAATTAGGAAGACTCAGAAAAAGGAGGAAAAAGGTAAGCGCGTTTGGTGGAAGTGACAGCATGCACCGAAAAAAGCAGAACCAAACAGAATACTCCTTCCGTTTCAATTTATGTGAACCTATTTGACTGGGCACGGAGTTTAAGAAAAAAAGAAGACTTTTGAATTTGTGGTGTAAAATGAGGCACATATATTTTGTGTGGCTATAAATCATTGCATATATGAAAAGGAGTTATTATTTTTGGCACGGACTAAAAAGGAAATAGGTTTACATAAATTGAAACGGAGGGAGAAGTAATTAGCACCAGCTGCCTCAATACCTACCGGCGACAATCACTTAGTCTGCAAGGTCTACAATGGGAAGCTGTTGTGCCAAAGCAAGAGGAAAGAACAGAAGGGAGTATACTAAAGAGGAAAAGGAAAAAGAAAACAGGAAGAAAGAGAGAGAGAGAATGAATCAGAACCAGAAACCATAAAATTTATGTGTATCCCCCACCACTAATTGAAGATTACCATGTTTTTATTGGGCTTGTAGGTTTTTTTTTTTTTTTTTTTTTTTTTTTTTTTTTTTTTTTTTTTTTTTTTTTTTTTAAAAA